AGTGAGAAAGTGAATGTTTGTTTGTCTCGTTTGTCTCTATGTGTCCCTGTGATGGACTGGAGACCTGTCCAGGGTGTCCCCTGCCTCTCGCACAGTGACTGCTGGATAAGGGGCCAGTGACCCCTGCGACCCTAAAAGAAAGAAGCGGATAAAGAGGATGGATGGATGTAAATACAGGGGTATTCTTTTGATCTTGACAAGTTTTGACCATCGACTTTAATCTTCTTCAGAAGAATGTCACCTGGTTTTGATTTTACATTTCTTCAACAGCTGTTCGTCTCATGGGTGTGACTAACCTAGCAGACCAGTCAGGCTGGTCATGCCAACCACTGTCTAATGTTCTCCCATCGTCCAAGTTAAATGTCCCAATTTCCTGATCTTCATTGCATCTTTGATCTAACATTTGTACCTGATTTTTTTGACTACCTTTTTCCCAGGAGATCATCAAACAGTGGTGGGCAGCCTGACATATCTGACACGTCTTCTAGGCTGGTCATGCCCATTGAGATCTGTCTATAACAGGTCTCTCTTGTAAATGAGTCCTAGTAACTCAATGAGATTTACCTGTAAAAATAAAGGGTGAATGAATGAATGAATGAGATATTAAAGACATGTCACATAAATACTAAGTACTGTATGTACCTGGTACCTATAAGTCCTGAATGTATATTAAAAAGTGACTGGTTCCCCTGTACTTAAAAGCTATGTTCTGGGAACAAACCTAGTACATGTACATGGTTATTTGCACGTTATATCCACATTAAGGTTCTGGTATGTAGTTACCTGGTGCATACAAGGCTACTTACTGGGTATGTACTTGGCACCTACAGGATACAGCTGTATGATAAAATGACGTAACCATACACCTGGTATTTGGTAGTTACCAAACACTTATATTCTAAGTACTTGGCTGTATAATGCTTTGGAACTATGACTATTCTTACATGCATCAAAAACTAATTTGTTTAGAACTGCATGGGTATCTAAGAGCTTCTTCACATGGGATACATATCTTACTACAATTGACAAGCATAATGACAGCCTGCATTATCTTAGCTGATCTTATCTTTATCAATTCAGAAACCAGTTCAGATGTGTTTAAGATCATCGCTTGCTGGGGGGCTCAACTGTGTCCAAGTTTCAATCATCTACTTTAGCTGTTTTTTTAGGTGAGGTTGAAGAATTTAGAGGTAGTTCTTCATTATTCCGTTTAATGTGAATGTACCACAGCATGATGCTACCGCTACCATGCTCAACAGTTAGTTCAGTGCTCTTATGCTTGAAACCCTCACTTAATTTCTTCTGTCACATTATGTTGTGGTCAAAAAACTGTTTTTGGCTTATCTGATCATAAAACATCGGATGGATGGATGGACGTGCCAGATATGTCAGGCTGCCCACCACTGTTTGATGATCTCCTGGGACCTTTCTGGCAGTCCACGGACAACTTATCCTCGTTGGCCTCTTCATGCATAAATGTATTATGACATCGTTATGTTGGCTGTTTATGTGCGAGAACGGATGGCCGACATTTATGCATGAAGAGGCCGATGAGGATAAGTTGTCCGTGGACTGCCAGAAAGTTCCATAGTCCTGATAAGATGGTGCAGTGTCTATCAGCCGGCTCAACTCTGACACAAATCCATAGGTGTCCTCGGGATAGGGTTGCACTCGGGTCCAAAAAATATGGTCCGACCCAGCCCCAGCCCACACCCATCATCTCCAAACCCCACCCGATCCGACAAATTAACAGTAATTGCAAGTCCATTTGGGTCTTCGGCCGCGCGCGTCTGCTGAGTGTAGTGGCTGAATGAACGTTCATTTGGGCTGATGGATCGCTGGCAGTAAACCATCTGAAGCTTAACCGAAGATCCACATAGAGACAAAAAAGCATTTACTCTCTCACTCCAATCAGTCTAACATACATGTTTTTGGTCTGTGGGAGGATACAGGAGTATCTGGAGAAAACCAGAATGCCCCCCGCCCTCCCCCCCGGCCGGGATTTGATTCAGCAACCTTCTCACTGAGAGGAGGCAAAAAAGAAAGTGTTTTTCCTCCACAGATGAACCCTGTAATATCTGGTGTCAAACAGTGGACTGAATGAAGTAGCTTCCAAAGTGTCTGAGGAGGTAATAAAACCTCTTCCTGCTAACTGAACCAGTCTGCTTCACTCGAGCTTCAGCTCGGTCTTGTTCCGTTGCTTGACCCACTTTCTTTATTGAACCCGTCTGGCTCTATCAAAATGCCCCTCTGAAAACCAACACTGGCACCTGTGTTGAATGAAAACTTCACAGCCTCTAACAGAAGAAATCATGTTTATTGGTGTGGTTGAGTGAGAAACACAACAGCAGCAGAAACACGGAGATCAACAGCGTTGCACATGTGGAAGAACAGGCGACGATTAAAACCTTCAGTCTCACAGCTTTTGGAGTGTTGTGAGATTTTATACATGCAGTGTTGAACAGAACACAAACTGGTCCTAGTGGTTTGTGACATACTGCCACCTGCTGGTTGACATGCAGCTTTGCAGAAACATTTTCATTTAGGAAAGGTTCAAGTCACCACTGCAGCTTTTTGTGTCGAAACTAACTTCTTCACTTTAACACAATAAAACACTTGTTTTTATTTTAGGTGGCATACCTAACGCCACAATATGGCTTTTATATATTTAGTATTGAAGGGGGGAAAAAAAATCACAATAAAAAGCTCATCATTTCTTGAAGGAATGCATATCGCCCCACTACATTTTATGCCAGCGTCTTAATCTGAAATTATTTTACAGACCAGAAGTAAATGTGTTTTGTTCAGATCTTGTAAATGGCATAAAGTGGGATCATATCTAACAGTGAAATATATCTGTGTAGTTTGTGTTGAGGATGACTCTCTGCTACCACCATATAACATTTTAGCTTGAAATATGATAACTGGACTAAGTTACAGCCATGTTAGTGTTTTGTTACATCTCTTCCCTGTGACAAATATCTTGAATTGGGTTGACTCCAGATCTTAATCAGTTGTACACACACATGCAATGATCGCATTCTGAGAGTTGCTTTCAAATCTCTTCAGTGGTTCATGAGAAATTCTGCTAACAGACAAAGATGACACCAACAGGCGTCAAACTTGTCAACCAAGGTTTGAAGAAAAATTAGCGCAAAACGTGCACACTGTGGTTCAAGTATGTGCACAAGGTGTGTTCTGCAAAAGGGCCTGAAGGCAGCCTAACACGCATGTTTTTCCCACGCACACATGAAGAGAACATGCAAACTCCACACAGACAGGTCCAAAGCAGGGATTGAACCAAGGACCTGCTTGCTGTGAGGCAACAGTGCCAACCACTGATCCATCATGCTGCCCATGAGACTGCAGTGAGTTTTAGCACAAAAGCTGTGAAATTGACTGAGTTATGGTCGTTTGCATTTTTTTTTTTTTTTTTATCAGTTGGCAGTGGCGGCCATCTTGAATTTGATTGATTACCAGTTAATTCAGTGATTGAGTTCTGAAAGTTTCACTTAAAGCTTTCAGTAGTTCATGGAATATTTTGCTAACTAACATACCAAGTTGACATCTTTAGTTAATGACAAGGGTTAAAAAACAATTGTGTAATCAGTCAGCTCTCAAAGTACACGTTGGGGAGAAGTCTCTGTTACAGCTATACAAAGTTTTAGCTCAATATCTGTAAACTGACTCATTTGTTTATTTTTCAATGCTAAAAGTTGGAAACTCAGTTTCCAGTTGAAAAAAAAATTAAGGTTTAATTTCTGACTATAGTAAAAATAGTTTTAGTGCTTCTGTTCGTCTCATTAAGTCAAGAATATGAAACTAAATACAGCATCATTTATCCTTATTCACTTGCATTCATATTTATAGCTGGTCAGTCAGTAAACGTACTGGTTTCCAACTGAAACTTTTATAAACTCTTTCCCTGCTTTGACTTTTTAGACAAACAAAACATGACGTGACTTTCAAAAAAATAAACTTTTATCATCAGCTGATTTTATATTTTGTCAGAATGTAGTAAATTTTCAAGTTCAAGCTCAATAATCCACGTAAAAAAATCCAACAGAGTCAACAGGTCCTCGGGATGTTTTTTTGTTTGTTGTTGAAATGTTTCGTCTTTCATCCAAAGGACTTCATCAGTCTGAGGATCCACAACAAACTCAGTCCCATAAGTAGCACACTCACATAGTGGGTCAACCAGTTCGATGGTGATAAGATGGTTTCTGGACTCCGTCTTCTCACCAATTGACTACCAGTTGCCAACCAGTTGGCCCACTACGCATCAGAGCAGTGTGCTGCTTGTGGGATTGAGTTTGTTTGTGGCTCTTCAGACTGATGAAGTCCTTTGGATGAAAGACGAAATATCTTCAACAGCAACAACAACAACAACAAAAAAACAACAACAAAGAAACCGTCCAGATGACCTGACTGAACTTTTTTGAATGTAGTAAATCGTTGCTGTTGAGCACAATCCTTGGATTTTCAAAAATGCGACATTTCCAAAAAAATGGTAAAAGAAAAATAGACCAAAAAAGTAATTCCCCCCCCCACCCCCAACACACACACACACACTTAAAATAACATTAAACTCAATATGGTTGCAAGCCAAAAGCTTTGCTAGTCATTTTCCATTGGTTAACACAGACTTATGTAAAAGATCGCTAATAGAGTTGATTTACAAAAACGTGATAAAGACGAAAGATGGAGGTACAACATACAGTACATACATACAGTACATACATACTGTACATACATTTACACAGCTGCAGCAAACGGTGATTTACAAAGTCAAAACACCAGCACTGCCAACAAAAACAAGCAACATTTAGAGCTTTACTAAATTTAAAATAAAACCTGAAAAGCCAGAAACAAGAACTTCTGTGGTGATCTATATCTACAACACATCAAAGGATTTCAGTCAGTTCAGCAGAAACGAGCACATGACCACTGGGCAGAAACTTTCACACACTTGTTTTGTGTACATTTGTGTGTGCGTGTGTGTTTCGTTCAAGAGTCGTCTTCATTGGCGCTGTCACCGTCATCCTCCCCTTCCTCGTGCTCGCCTTCATCCACCTCATCCTCGTCTCTCCCTCTGCTTTTCGTCTGCAGGGACGGAAAAATAGAAATAGAACAAAATGAGTCAAATATTATGAGATTATAAAACTATGAAGTAATGCTGAATGCATTTAAAACAAGAAGAGAATTATGAATTATGCAAAAAACATGTATTCAAGATAAACTGATTATGTTCATCATAGTAACAATTTCTGGTATGTATCTAGTATGTACTTGGTACGAATCTGGTACAAGCTTGTAAGCACCTGGTGGTATGTACCCAAAATGTACCATATGCACATCATGTAAGTACAAGGTAACTCATCAGTTCATAATGCAGCCCAATCAATGTCAAGTACCTGGTAAGTGCGATGTAAGAAAGGAGTAAGATGGAAGAAAGTACTGGGTAAGACTGGTAAGGAATGAATACATGCAAGAGAACCTGCTGCTTCAAAAACGCAGCCTACCAACATAATTACCAGGTACATATGTACCAGTTAAGTACAAGGTATATATTGGGTAGATGTGGGTATGTACCAGATTAGTAAAAGATAAGTATCAGGTAAGAGCAAGGTACGAATTGGGTAAGTATGAGGTAATTAAAAGGTATATACCGAGCAAATATGCAGTATGTACCAAATTAGTACAGGTAACAGGTAAGAGCAAGGTAACTACTGGATACGTGTGTAGTATACATTGGGTAAGAGCAAGAATTGTATGGGATAAGTATGTGGTGTATACTGAGGAAATTAGGGGTGTATGCCAAGTTAGTACAGGGTAAGTACCAGGTAAGAGAAAGGTATGTACTGATTAAAAACAAGGTAAGTGCAAGGTATGTACAGGGTAAACTTGAGGCAAGTATAAGGCACATATGGGGTAAATACAGGGTATGTACCAGGTGGGGACACTGTATGTACCAGGCAAGTGTGGGTTACATACCTGATATGGACCCAGTACTTACCAAGCTGTATTATGTATTGCTACCATACTCTTAAATTGAAAACAGAAACATTTGTGCAACAAACTGACCTCGTCATCTTCCAGCAGATCTCCATCCTCCTCTGAGTCATTCAGGTCCTGCTTCTCTCGGTCTCTCTTCAGGCTGCCCTCCTTCTTGCTAGAGGTAGACGAGTGAAGGGGGGACACTTCACCAGGCTCCAGTTTGAAATGTTTCACTTCTGCGTCAAAACGAGAGCATTAGGTATGAAGAGAGGGATATAAATGTGTTTCAGCTTGTCCTGACTTCTTTTATTTTAAAGAGTACCGGTAGTTTAGGTCAGCCAGTAGCAAAATGCATGAAGCTCCCTAAATTCACAGTTACAATCTTTGCCCCCTGAAATTCTTCAACTTTGTGAAATTGAAACTGTACCAGCTGTTATAAGGTTAAAGGTAAACCCTAGGCTATAAAATTAGGCAACATTGCAGTTGCAGTCTAGTGAAATCAATGTGTTTTCAACTTAGCAACCGGGGGAGTGGTGGCGCAGAGGTTAGAGAGGTGGGCTTGTGATCCGAAGATCGCCGGTTCACGCCCCGGCCCCGACAACATCAAAATTGTGGGTGGGGTAGGTGAAACACCTACACTTGCCCCCACCCTCATTCGCCCCACTCTGGGCCCATGCGCAAGGCCCTTAACCCCCACCATGTGCTCCCTAAACAGGTCTCTCTTGAAAATGAGTTCTCGTGGCTCAATGAGACTAACCTGGATAAATAAAGGCTAAATGAAAAATGAAAATGAAGCTGTGTGGATACATTTTGAGCTGCTAATGTTCCAAAACCACAGCTTCTTTTCATGTCTGACTTTCAAAACTGGGGCCGTGCACATTATTATGTTACCCACCTGCACTCACATCTTACCCAACTCACCCCACTTTGTATATACCCACTTTTGGCGCTTTGCCACTGTCAACTCTCACCAGTTCTGCACGACACGGCACCAGTTAAGGGCCTGCCCACTGCCAGTTGTCCACCCCCAGTACCCACCCCCATTCAGCCCAGTTTATGGGACCACCTTGTTTGAGGTTCCAAACGAACCGCTCCGAGGGACCGATCTAGACGTAAGCAGACAACCGACGTCGATTGGCCAACGGAGCTACTACACTGAATGACCTGCCCAGCAGAACTGCCAACTACATCTGAACCTCCACTTCCTTTCTGATCGTGTTGACGGACGGCGCCACAAGAAATTATTGCATTTACAGAGAGATATCGGAGATGATGCGTCGGCATGGCAACACCAGGATTTATAAGCAGTGCTGGGATAAGCTAAAGAAATTAAAGTCGGATTATAGGGCGATTAAGGGCCACAGTGGGTATGTTTACATGGACATAAGTAACCGGATCAAATAGCCGGTCGGAATAAAAGTGTGTCATGTAAACACTCCGTTCGGGTTATTTTTTGTGTATTCGGCGCGATCCGTTATAATTTCTGATCAGAACGAAACGGGTGGTTTATGCCGATCCGAAACCCGATCGGTGCGCATGTAAAAGCTTGATCTGTTCGTTTTTATCTGATGGTGAAAAACTGACCTGACTGCGCATGTGCGACTTTGCCATTTCCGCCTGGCTAACGCTAATAAAATTAGCATGTCAGGGAAGCAAAACTGGTCAGTGAGAGACACAACATTTCTACTAGAAACTTTTAAAGAGCTCAAAATGATCTGTATCACCTGTAGCTCAGTCAGGGAGTGCAGTAACGTCTCCACCATCATTAAAACCTGTCGCGGGTCCATTTTGGGTGCTCAGGTTTGTTTATGTTCACCCCAGAAGTAGAACTTCTTCTTCGGTGTTTTTTTTAAAGGAGAGTTTACCACTCTGCGCATGTCAGTACTGCTGTTCAGAACAAAGCCCGCTGCATGTAAACACTCATCATGAACAGATTGTGCCCATGTAAACAACACATTTGAATTATTCAAACAGAACACATTTCAATCCGGTCAAAGAATTCTGCGCATGTAAACATAGCTAATGACCTGCTATGATATCGCCCACAGAGCGCGGAAATAAGTCAGTGGAGTCACACTTATCAGCGGTAAAGCGGTTTTTGAAAGCTCTTTCAACATTTATGATTTATTCCGAGTACACTGTAGAAATTAAAATAGGCCTCAGTTTGTAGAAATAAAGTTGAATTATGAGCTAGGTCAAGCAAGGCCAAGAGCATACTGCTTTGTGTCTTAATAAAACTACAATAATCCATTGAGATAAATGCGTTGCTAATTTTGGCATCTGTTTTACTAACTATCTTCCCTTCTGCTCATTTTAGCTTTAGCATCTGTTTTTCTACTTTTCGCTATGGTTCTACCCCTTTTTAGCTACTGTTCTGCTGCTGCAAGCTCGATGGTAATGTTTTGCTGTTTTTTTTTAGCCAGTGCTCTGCAGATTTCAGATTTTGCTCTGCTTGTTGTAATTTTAACAACTGTTTTAAGGTATTTTGCAATTTTGAACAAATTCAGCATCCTGCATTCACTTATTTTTGTAGAAAATATATATTTTTGGTATCTTGCTGCTTTGAATTTGATTTTCAGACCTACCGGACTTCTTGCTGTGGTCCTTCTCCATGCGCTCTATGCTCTCCAGCAGATAGTCCACCTTGTATTTGATCTGCGTCAGCTCTCTCTTGATGGTTTGTAAATCATCTGTCCTCACTGTAGGACCAGTAATTACAGGATTACTGTCAGATGGATTATTGGAGTACTGTTGTATGCAGGCATGCAAAAACTCTGAGCGCTCGCTTTGAAATATGTCATCGTAAAAATGACTCTTACATTTTTTTTTTTTTACATCATATTAATTTGTGCAAGCCTGGCAGCAAGCGATCTTGGTGTCTTTTGAGTTTCCTTGTTTGTCTATTGGCAAAATATCTTATGAGCCAGAAGTTTCAAGAAGGTTGGATGTAGATCTGGATCCCATTTACCATGCTGTTCTGAGGTATATAACAGGCTCACCATTTAGGACTCACCATTATACTTTATATAACTTTTCTGGACTTCACTCAATATTCAAAGCATGAATCATTGGTATATTTTCATATACAAAGCCATGTTAGGAAAATGACCATCATGTATCTACTCTAAGTTCATTTCACTGCAGAACACAGTCTCAGGGCCAGGCTGTGGTTTAAGGAACCCTTTGTGCGCACAGAGTCAGGAAATATGAGTTGGTCCTATTTCAACTCATGGTCTTGGAATGAACTGCAGCTTAAGTTGAGGTTGGAGACTTTTCAAGGTCCCAGTTATACCCCAAAATGGCACAAAAAGTATAAAAAGTATAAAAAGAAACAGTATACAGTAGTCCCTCGTTTATTGTGGCTGTTTGGGACCAGGCTCACCTGCAATAAGTGAACCACCGTGAAGTAGGGATACAGTAGTTCAAGTTCAGGAAACTTTGTCAGGACATGTGCCAGGCTGCAATCACACTCATCACCCGTTACTCGCAAACTCCCTCCTTAAATAAACAATTTAAATTTAAATACTGTCATATTCTAAATAAACAACCCATGGCTCATCCATCAATCAGCCAATTGTGTCATGTCCGGTCTTATTTTGAAAATCCGCGATATAGCGAGTCCGCAAAAAACGAACCGCGAAAGTAGCGAGGGATTACTGTACAAGTATCCAAGATATCCAAGTATCACTTGCTTTTGTTAAGTGGGGGACACCTCCTCCTCTCCCTCTCCGCTTTGCTTTTGCTCTGTCCTGTCTGTGAAACAGCTTCGGAGCCTCTCTTCTACAAATCTTCTGAATCATAATTTATGGATTTGGTCAGTTGTTCGATATGGCCGATATGCCCTGTTGGCACGCACACAGCTGGATATCTCATGTAATGTCCTGCCCGTCCCCAAATCAGTCATGTTTATCTGATTTCGGCTCCCAGACAGGCCATCTTATCTTAATACGTCTAGAAGTTTTGTAAACTTGATGCTCTACCACTCCCTCCCCTCCTACAGAGGAAGTCTGCTGACTTTTCAGAGGGGCCCAGCTGAATAAACATTCTGTCATCATTTCAGGACTCGTTGGATTCATCTTTGGCTGTCCTCGACACGCGTACGGATCTCTTCAGAGGGAATTATTATTAGGACTGAGCAATTTTATCAGAACTCTTGCAGTGTCTCCGTGTGTCGTCTCTGGACATGCTCATCACCCTTTCCCCCCCCCCCCCCCCCCTGCAGAATGTTGGCATCATTGTGCTTGTTGTTGCGAGATGTTTTTTTCATTATCACGCTGTTAACCTTCAGCCAAAGATTAAGAGCATGTTAAGAATTTTTTTTGTTTCCAAATCCTATGTGTCATTTTTCACCACTTCCTGTGTGTCCAAACAGATCTCACTTGTAAAGGAGTCTCCGCGGCTCGGTGTGACTTATCTGTTTCAATAAAGGTTAAATGAATGAATTAACATACATGTATGCGAAACACTAATAATGTAAAGTAATACTATTATTATATTTTTACTTTCATTCCTTTAACTAGTTATAAACAAAACTTGTCAGATGTTTTAGTCACATCTTGCACCTGTAACGTTTAAGTGTCTTAAATTGTGATGTTTTTTTAAACTTGCGTTGTATTTTATGTCTTGTTACCAGATGTTTTGTTGAAAATCAGCTCACACTGATCCTTGTAAAAGAGATTAATAATCTCAATGGATTTATTTCCTGGTAAAATTAAAGGTCTAAATAAAATACAATAATTTGAAAAATTCTATAATTGATGACATTTTTGTAGTGAAACCAACTCAAGATGGAAACACAAAAATGGCTATATATCTATCCATTGATCTAACTTTAGTGTGGTAATGGCCGACTGTCATCACACCATCTCATATTTAGAGTACTGTATTTTTCTGACTATAAGGCACACTTAAAATCCTTTAATTTTCTCAAAAATCAACAGTGAACCTTATAATCATGTGTCTTATGTATTAACTCTGGTTGTGTTTACTGACCTCAAACCAATTTTATGTGGTTATTGTGAATGAGTTGAATAAAGCTTGACTTATCTGTTTTGTTTCGCTTAATGTGCCTTATAGTCCGAAAAATATGGTACTAAAGTTCAAGATGAAGCATTTTGTTGAACATCTAAAGCAAGATTAAGAGCTTATTTTTGTAATCTGCAGGTTTGAGAGATAAGAAAAATAAATCACACCCAGTGAGTGGGAGAAGACCTAAAGAAAGCAACACGTTTATATCCTCAGTTTGGTCACTTTATTTAGGAACTGCTGTTAGTTTAAACCAGTCCTTCTCAAATAGTGGGCTGCGCCCCCCTGGGGGGGCCCGGAGCAATGCGGGGTGGGGGGGGGGGGGGGGCATGTCACCCCGGGAACATTTTGCGGCAGGGATTTTTTATTTTTATTTTTGCACCATTTTCATTGTGTCAAGGTGCGTTTGGCAACTGTTTGCTAAAATCCGGCAACTCTTAGACTCACTAATAATAAAGTTATGAACAAATATGTCTGTCTTGTCGTTTGAGGAGCCGTGCTTGAACAGTGTCGCTGTGACGCCTCCTCAGCTGGTGATGCTCTGGACGCTTGTCACCCACAGCACGCATGCGACAGAGAATGAACTCAAAGCGAGAGCGTTACCCGCCCCTCTTTTACTTTAACAATTTTTTTTAGTTTGTCAAAGCACAATTTTTGTGTGTTTTTTTAATACAGAAGTAATGTTTAATAAATGTTAGGACTCTATTCTTTGCTAACAAAATATATTTTGTCATTAAACAACTTGTCAGTTTCTTCTCTTGTGAGCGCGTTCCCCTTGTTTTGTTTTGTAAGTCAAAGTGTTTTATGTAACACTCCCGACTTAAAATGTTGCTGATCAATTTTAATTTATTAGTATTTATTGATTGTATTTAATTTGATTGTTCAGTATCAAATGGTCAAAAATGTTTACAGTTTAAATAAGGATATATATTTTTTTAATTTCAGGCAAATTGATGCACTTTATGTCTTTTCTGTTACAGACTATCAAACAATGTTAATAATCTTTGTTGTAAGTTGAACTATATTTCTTTCTTTTTTATTTAATGTTAATAAGGGTTGTGTATGCAGAGGTGTACTTATAACAATTTTTTAAACAAATTATACTATTTACAGTCGCAGCGAAGAGTTGGGGGGGGGGGGGGGGCGCAAAATGTTTACTTCTTCCTAGGGGGGGTGTAACCAAAAATAATTGAGAAGCACTGGCTTAAACACGGGAGACTGAGCCTAAACCTAAACTCTAATCAGACAGATCAATCAACAGACGTGCTGACTCAGAGCTCCACACATCATCGGTCTGTGTGAGGAAACTGCTGGAGTGATGGGACCTACTTGTGCGTGAAGTCCTCGGGACGCTCTTCGAGGAGGAGGAGAAGGTGGTCTTGCTTCGTCGGCTCCCTCCGCCGCTCACACTGACCCTTGGGCGCTTTGAGGGGACGACAGCATGGGACAGAGGCGAGGGAGGGGGAGGAACCCGGGACTGGTAGGGGTACATTCTGAAAGATGATGGTGGTATTAGAACCAGATTAAATTCAACACCAAGAGATAAAAATGTATACCTATTGTTCTCTAGTTTATTTTTACTAAGAATATGTTAATTTCTATATTTTATATGCGAAGTGTTGGGATTGTGCTGACACTAGTCTAAACAGCTAGGTGTTAATCGACAAGCAGGAACATGAGAAGCTGAGGTCAAATGATTGGTGCATGAAAAGAACATCTCACCTGTCATAGTAGTCTCGTTGGAAGTCGTAGTCCAACTCAAAGGATGAGCTGTGTGATTGTGAGGACAAGAATACAGAATATTAAAGACACAAAATACAACTTTATTTGTTTGAATACTTTTACTTTATTAAGTTTTAATGTTTGTTGACTACCACTACGTTATAGATTTTTTTTATTTTTTTTTGTGAGCATGAGCAGCAGAGACACACACCTGTACATTTCTCCTGCTGATCGCTTCACTGTCTTCGATCGTCGAGGCTTTGGTTCACCGGCCAGGTTAATGTCTGACAGAAGGAAAAAACAAATATAACAAAGGACCAATAAAAAAAGAACTTGTTTGGTGAAAACAAACAAAAAACACTTTTACGTTTGTTTTTGGTGGACGATTGTAGAGTATTTGTTCACCACTAGGTGGCAGCAGAGTGCTACATCTTTTTGAAACATTTACATTAATAATACTGGACTGCATCCAGGTCTGGGAAATTTAAGCTTGAAGGGGACCAGTGTCCCCATAGACAAGGTCTCCAGTGTGAGTTTCAAATCCCACCTCTTTTTTTATTTTTTTATTTAAATAATCAATTTGCCCTTCTTAAGAATAAAACTGGGCAGCACGGAGCTGCTGCCTCTCAGAGAGAAGGTCGCCGGATCAAATAACTGTCTGGGTGCCTTTCTGGGTGGAGTTTGCATGTTCTCTCTGTTTGTCTCTATTTGTCCCTGTGATGGACTAAAGACCTGTCCAGGGTGACCCCACCTCTCGCAGTGGCTGGTGGATATGGGCACCAGTGACCCCCACGACCCCAAAACGAAGAAGCGGGTAAAGATAATGGATGGATAAAAATGAAAATGTTAAATATTTTCTTTCAGTTGTTGACTCTAGTCGATACAAGTAGCTCTTAAAATCCTGATGTATGTTCAAATATTATGTTTTTAAATGTGTTTAGCTGTAGTTCATGCTTAAAAAAGAAGGCCAAGCTGCTGGCCAAGCTGATGGTGCAGTTCTACACGGCCATCATCGAGTCCATCCTCAGCTCCTCCATCACGGTGTGGTACGCCGGGGCCACTGCCAGGGACAGACTGAGACTGCAGCGCGTTGTGCGCTCAGCTGAGAAGGTGATCGGCTGCAGCCTTCCATCCCTCCACGACCTGTACGTCTCCAGGACTGTGAGGCGAGCAGGTCGGATCACAGCTGACCCTGCTCACCCTGCACACGGACTGTTTGAACCACTCCCCTCAGGCAGGAGGCTTCGGTCCATTCAGACCAGAACCTCCCGCCATAAGAACAGTTTCTTCCCCTCTGCTGTTGGACTCCTGAACACTCATAATGCTACCTCATAATTTCTGCTTTGGTCACATTACATCTGTATTATAATTGAATAGTCCATCTGTACTGTTTTCGAAGCTTTTTTATTGTTTTCTATTATAAGGGTGTACATATGGTTATGTTATGTTTTTAATTTTACTTTATTTGTGGGTGTACACAGGCTTATGTCTTATGTAATGTTCTAATTTTTACTTAATTTTGACTTTATTTTTACTTTATTTTTACTTTATTTTACTTTACTACTATTCGCACCTTATGTCGAAGCAAATTCCTAGTTTGTGAACCTCGTTCATTGACATGGCGATAATAAACTGATTCTGATTCCGATTCTAAAAGAAAGTTCATACAACACCATTCAGTAGTCCCTCACTTACTGCGGTGGCTACGTTCCAAAAACCCCCACAATAGGTGAAAATCTGCAAAGTAGGAACTTTATATTTATTTGAGTATTTACAGTAGTCCCTCGCTACTTTGCGGTTCATTTTTCGTGGACTCGCTCTATCGCGGTTTTTCAAAGTAGGATTGAACATGACACACAAAGGCTGGCTGATGGATGAGCCGCACGATCGGCATGGATTTATTCAAAATAAATTATTTTAAATGATTTAGCACCTGTGTGTAGCCCACAGCTGTGGGAGAAGCTTCCTCCTGCAGCTGATCTCCGTGCAGAGCGAAGAAGTGGGCGTGGCCGAGAGTGCAGCTGGAGGCAGAGAGCTGAAATCATGACATGCTGTGCTCTTTTAGAGCGTTTAGAGTTTAGAAACATTGTTTAGAATATTACAACAGTGTGGGAACGACTACTTACTACTTGTACTACGATTCCTACTTCGCGGTTTTTAACTTATCATGGAGTTTCAGGGTACGGATCCCCCGTGATAAACGAGGGATACTGGATATATATTTTAAGGCTTTATAAAGCCTTCCCACTAAATAAACAATCCATGCTGCTTGTGTGGCTCACTCAGGTATAAGACTGACCCCCACCCCCTGCTTCATTCGTTTAGTTTCTGAGGCTATGTGTTGCATGCCCGCTTGTTGTGTATCTCTGGGACATGATGGATTTTCAACATACGATTGTACACGACACACGATTAGCATGGGGAATGACAGACCCCCTCCTTTCTCTTTCTCTGTTGTGCCAGATAGCCTTAGAAAGAGAAAGGAGGGGGTGGGGGGCTCTGCCTTATACCCAAGTGAGCCGAACTCAGCCGTGCTCAGCCATTCTCTCTTTTTTTGCTCTGTCACAGCAGAAAAAGAGAAAGGAGGGGGCAAGGGGCGGGGTCTGTCTTTCCCCATACCAATCATGTGTCGTATACAACCTTACGTTGAAAACCCGCCAAAGAGTGAGTCTGCGAAAGTGGAACTGCAAAGTATCGAGTGACTACTATACTTGTATACAAAGGAGTAGGCGGGACTTAAAGCCCCACAGCAATATTGCTCAGACTCTGGTTCCAAAAATCCGTCTGGCTTTAATTACTAACAACAACAACAAAAGGCGGAGCAATTTGGTCTAGTTTGAACAATGACCCTGGAAGATCATATCGGATTTTAATTGACAGTGAACTAAAAGTTATGACATACTGTGTGTTTGTGTTTATCCTCTGTAACACATTGATTATGTTAATTTGAATAGAGCTTTCACAAAGTTGAATATACTTTACGCTTCTTTAAGAAGAACATGCTAGGCTATGGTCAAGATCTGAATAACCTTCATTAAAAGTCCTAACGAAAACTAGATGCTCCTCAGTGGAGATTGTGTTGTGACCTATTTGTTTATTGTATTCTAATTGTTTTTTTGAATTACTTTTAAAAGGTGTACACACTGGGAACGTACAGTTCGACTTCATCATCTTCTTCTTTCTTGGGGTGGGCCTGTGCAAAGCAAAATAACCCTTCACTCATTAATAAAATTATTCAAAACTGGAAACACTTGTTAACTTCTATCAAATAGTCACTTTAAATTGAACACATTGACATAATGAGAATGGGGTTGGACCAATTTACATTTGTAAAAGTTAAATGATGGTGAGGAAAGTTTTGATTGTAGACTATAGCTAATTTGGGGCAAACAATTTTGTGCAATGCAGAACATTTTGTAGTGAACTAGGCCTCCGACAACAATCTGTCTCTGAAGACCTTCATGGGACAGGAACTGTTATTTCATTGATTTGAATCCAGAAATACAAATTAGCTCATCAAGAGACTATTTAATTGTATCCTGAATTAATCAATTGGAAGAACACTCTTCTTTGTTTCATTATCATTACTATTTTAGAATATCTTGATAATCAAAGTGTGTTTAGTTCATACCATTTCTAAATGTTGAAGTGAACCACTCATTTTAAATCAACTGTGAAACAGTATTAATGATTTAGAAATCAAGTTAAATGTCTATTTACAAAGTAATTGTGCATTTTGATCTTCTGTCTGAATGAGGAGTAGTGATGTCGGTCGAAAGTCAGAGACAGTCAGAAAGCAAGTTATTAGAATGAAGTATCTTGTTTTTAAACTCAGCAGACAGTAAATAACTTCAACTGGCATCTGCGTTTGTCTCACTTCGCCATAACATTCCTCTGTCTGTACTAATCGTTCGTAAACATTCATGCAGCCTCTCTTGACTTTTAATAACCCTCTGACATCACTGAAACACCACCCCTGCTGGTTGTTTCAACCAATCAGGAAGTACCAAGTGACCGGAAGTGAGGACTCTTTAAAAAGTCAACACTTCCTGGAACTATTCAGTCTTTCACCGGAGTCTTCCACTTCTGAGTGGAACTTCGGACTCAGTCTTCTTCAGTCTTCCTGGAGTCTTACTCAGTTTTCCTGAGTCTTTCTTGGGACTAGGAGTCTTCCTGAGAGTTCCTAAGGAACTTTCAGATTTAATCAATAACTGATGGATTTGACCGTGAGACGAGGGTCCGTCCATCCCAGCTGGAGTCACAGCGCCTCGCTGTGAACTCACCCGGGCGTAACGCCCTACAACTTCGAAGGAAGCTTGTTCTGGTGAACGGAGTAAACCACATGACTTCTGACGATGACCAGCCACCCTGACCAGAGACGCTGTAAAGGTAGCGTGCAAAGGGACATCTCGACCGGAGCTGATCCTCATCTGCAAAGGTAAAGAGACGTCACGAGTGTCGCGCACTAAGTGGACCGAGGGTTCGAGCTGGTGTTGAAAGAAGAGTGCTAATTCTGGTCAACAAACATACATCTTCCTTCATCCATCTTCCTTTTAAATCTATTCCTTCTCTTAAACTTTTCTATTTGCCAGTAACCTAGATGCCTTCAAAGGTGAATCAGCCTCGATCAGTAATGTTCTGTTGTCTTGTTAGTAAAGCGTGCCAAGTTTTTATTAATCAGAAACAGATCAGCAAATCAATGTGTACATGTTTTGATGTTAAATTTTGATTCTGTTAAATAAATGACCGCATTTATTCTGATGGGTCAAAGATAAAATGGCGTCTCATGTCACTGATTAAACAATCCTCACAGTTATCTCGGTCACCATCCATCCATCCATCCATCCATTATCTTTACCCGCTTATTCCATTTTGGGTCACGGGGGTCGCTGGTGCCCATGTCCAGCAGTCACTGTGCGAGGGGCAGGGTACACCCTGGACTGGTCGCAAGTCCATCACAGGGACACATAGAGACAAAAAAGACAAACAACCATTCACACTTTCACTCACACCTAGGGACAATTTAGAGTTACCAATCAGCCTAACATGCATGTTTTTGGTCTGTGGGAGGAAACCGGAGCACCCGGAGAAAACCCACGCATGCACGGAGAGAACATGCAAACTCCACCCAGGAGGACCCTGGACCGGGGTTTGAATCAAGGACCTGCTCGCTGAGAGGCAGCAGCTCTACCAGTTGCGCCACCGTGCTGCCCCTATCTCGGTCACATGGCATTAATTTAACTCGAAAAAGAAAGAATCCGTTGTATTTAAATAATTAATATTCTTTGTGCTTGAACTAGCTTTAAGAATAATTAATTAGTAGTGAAGCTACAGCAAAGCTGTCCTGACATCACTACAAGTTGTTTAAACTTTTCTCCATGTGCAATAATTATAAAATAAAATCTTTGTCGTCTTGCAGCCAACTGAGAATTCTCTCTCTAGTCAAGACTGCCAGTCCTCACCTAACACCTGTCCAACAATCATGCGGCCATCCTCCCCAGCCACAGCCGCCCTGGCATTCCTCTCATTTGAGTACTGAACGAAGGCGTAGCCCTTATGGACAGAGCAGCCGACAATCTTGCCATATTTGGCAAAGATGGTTTCCACATCAGCCTTGGTGACCAGCAAGGTATTGAGGTTGCCGATAAAGACGCGGGAGTTCAGGGAGTGAAGATCGTTTTTGTTGGTCACATTGCTGCTCGCCATCAAGGATGAGGACCAACTGCAGGAAGCAGATAGAACAGACAGGAAGTTGTCAATGAAAGGCAGGGAGATAATACGCAAACAGCTTTTCTTCTGTAAAACTCAGATTGATCAACTTTGATAAACGATAAAGAAATGTAAGAAAGGGTAAAAGTGTGTGGAGTGTGTGTGATGATGGGCTATGTTTAAAGGTATTAACAAATTCTGTCAACAAAAAAAAAAACGGCTTTGTTGGGCCTAATAAGGTTAAGTTAGGTTATCTGGATGGATCATCCGTTATCATCAGTCTTACATCGGGGAAACTAAACCGCCACTGGCCAAAAGGATGGCCCAGCACAGAAGAGCAACATCATCAGGCCAGGCCACTGCTGTTTACACTCATCTTCAGGCCAGGTCACTTCCAGGGATGAAGATGTTCACATCCTTGATAGAGAGGAACAATGCTTTGAGAGAGGAGTAAAGGAGGCCATCTTTGTGAAGAGAAACTGTCCATCATTAAACAGGGGTGGAAGCCTCCGTGTTCAACTGTCCCCCTCTTACAATGCTGTTATTGCTAGTATCACTCATCCCCCAGTGAATAGCAAGTGGCCATCAGGACACTAACAATCTATTGTTAGGCTGATGGTCCTCCTTGATCATGTGAACAACTAGTTCTGGATGTCAACAAACTTGATCCACTATGACAAAGAGCTATTTATAAGATTGAGTTTCTTGCAGTGTTTCAGACTGAAGAAGTATTTTGGATAAAAGACGAAGTGTTTCAGCAAAGAAGAATCCACCCAGAGGACCTGACTCAACCTGGTTAGATTCTTCTCTCTGGATTATTGAGCATACATCAGGACAGCTTTGTTGGATATTTTGTTGTGACTCAGTTAAACTGTGGTTCCCAAACTGCAGGACCATGGTTCGCAAACTATAATTCTATAGTCTGAGAACTACAGTTAAACAACCATAGTTCTCAAATGAAGGCTCTTCGTTTCTTAAAATACTCTACTGTAGTTCTCAGTCTTTAAGACTATAGTTCCCAAGCTGTGCGACATGTATAGTACAACTGATGGTAGTATGGATTTTTCTAGTGCCACCCAGTTTGAGAACAGGACTGATATCAATAGATGAATATTAGCTCCATTTATTGATGAACATAAATATTTTTCATACCAAATTTACCCGTTCAGCTTATTGTGAATAATAAACTCGTAGTAGCTTGAAATATTTCTGATATGCTTTTGGTACATACATGCTTTTCCTGTTATTCTTCATGTGCCTGTGTGTGGCCTCGAGACTTAATATGAAGTTTGGTGTAAAAGTGGTTTATTATGTCTGTCATAAAGGTAGAGAACCAAACCCTTTGAGATGGTACTTGAAGTTTGAGAATCACTGACAACTGACCAGTCCTGTCAACAACAAAGCCATTTTATAAGTACTCATTACTTTATGAAAACTATATGTTTCTATTTTTGTGTTGGAAAATACAGTACATTGTCTGATATTAGACAGAAATTCTGATTTAAAAAAAAAGTTATACAGAAAAAGATGGAAACATCATAAAAGCGTACTGTATTTATGTTAAACACACAAACTGGGCTTAGTTGCACATTCACCATAAAACAAGAGCTTCTAAAGATGGACAGAAGATTAGACATAGTGATCAGGTCATGAAGCAGCCAACACTCACTCCATTGTGTCTGTTTTCAGGTTGGTGGAAGGCTGCCTGCCTTTCTGTCTGTTGGAGAGAAGAAGGTCACTGTGAAACTATGACAAATGAAGTCAAGTGTCTTTAGGGAAACATCTACAGTTTTGAAGATTATTTTCAGTCTAGGATATTAATCAAACCAGGCTAAGATGGAAATAGGAGCAAGTCAAAGGGTAGAAGAATGAAAGCTGTAAATTCATTAAAAAAAAAACTTAAAGGAATATTATGGACATTTTGGTTAATGAGCAAAGAGTCTGAAGACTTCTCTTCAAAATTTAACAATGCTCCTCAGGAATAAAACAGCAGCATATTAATACACAACTTACCTCAAACATCGCTCAGTTTTATTTTTAATATTAATAGTAGTTTTGTCTCCACAATATATATATTTGGAACCTATAACCCAATATAATCAGAAATTTTCAACAAAATACAAACATGTTGTTTGGTAAATGCCTGAAGTCAATGCATTTTTCTTGATGACATTGAACTTAAAGTTATCTATGACATTTATTGTAATAAATATGAATGCATTTCTGGCAAGACAATGCAATAATAATAATAATGTATTGCAAAAAATAAAATTCACACTGCTGAGATCAACAGATAGTTAAGTATTCAAGGTAAGGTTTCTTGATTGGCATTCGCATCACATGTGGTACATGTGGTGGAACTAAATTGTATACACAGAGTTCCAGTTACATCCAACAAAAGTATAAATTGTAAAAGAAATAAAAACAGTAATAAGATCTAAGATATGAACTAAGAAATATGGTAAAGAAAAAATAATATAATAAATAAAAGTACAGAAACAATACGCCGAACGACAGTAACACAAACATGTGCCTGTGTGAGCAGAGGAGTATAAATGCAATGTAACAGGAAGTCGTCACTTCCTCTTTCACAAGTTCAAATGTCGGTTTTGTGACCAAAATAGAAACTGGATTCCAAAAAAGTTGGAACACTAAACAAATTGTGAATAAAAACTGAATGCAATGATGTGGAGGTGCCAACATCTAATATTTTATTCAGAATAGAACACAAATCACAGATCAAAAGTTTAAACTGAGAGAATGTATCTTTTTAAGGGAAAAATCTGTTGTTTCCAAATTTCATGGCGTCAACAAATCCCAAAAAAGTTGGGACAAGTCCATTTTTACCACTGTGTGGCATCCCCCCTTCTTCTTACAACACTCAACAGACGTCTGGGGACAGAGGAGACCAGTTTCTCAAGTTTAGAAGTAGGAATGCTCTCCCATTCATGTCTAATACAGGCCTCTAACTGTTCAATCGTCTTGGGCCTTCTTTGTCGCACCTTCTTCTTTATGATGCACCAAATGTTCTCTATAGGTAAAAGATCTGGACTGCAGGCTGGCCATTTCAGTACCCGGATCCTTCTCCTACGTAGCCATGATGTTGTGATTGCTGCAGAATGTGATCTGGCATTCTCGTGTTGAAAAATGCAGGGTCTTCCCTGAAAGAGATGACGTCAAGATGGGAGCATATGTTGTTCTAGAACCTGAACATAGTTCTCTGCATTAATGGTGCCTTTCCAGACATGCAAGCTGCCCATGCCACAAGCGCTCATGCAACCCCATACCATCAGTGATGCAGGCTTCTGAACGGAGCGTTGATAACAACTTGGGCTATCCTTGTCCTCTCTGGTCCGGATGACATGGCGTCCCAGTGTTCCATAAAGAACTTCAAATCGTGACTCATCTGACCACAGAACAGTCTTCCATTTTGCCACACTCCATTTTAAATGACCCCTGGCCCAGTGCAAACGTCTGAGCTTGTGGAGCTTGCTTAGAAATGGCTTCCTCTTTGCACTGTAGAGTTTCAGCTGGCAACGGCGGATGGCACGGTGGATTGTGTTCACTGACAATGCTTTCTGGAAGTATTCCTGAGCCCATTCTGTTATTTCCTTGACAGTGGCATTCCTGTTTGAGGTGCAGTGACGTTTAAGGGCCCGGAGATCACGAGCATCCAGTAGAGTTTTACGGCCTTGACCCTTACGCACAGCGATTGTTCCAGATTCTCTGAATCTTTTGATGATGTTATGCACGGTTGATGATGATAACTTAAAAGTCTTTGCTATTTTACGCTGGGTAACACCATTCTGGTATTGCTGCACTATCTTTCTGCGCAACAATGGTGGAATTGGTGATCCTCTTACCATCTTGGCTTCTGAGAGGCACTGACACTCTGAGAAGCTCTTTTTATACCCAATCATGTTGTCAATTGACCTAATTAGTGTTAATTGGTCTTCCAGCTGTTCGTTATATTCTCAATTTCCTTTTTCCAGCCACTTATTGCTACTTGTCCCAACTTTTTGGGGATTTGTTGACACTGTGAAATTTTGAATCAACATATTTTTCTTTTAAAATGTTCCATTTACTCAGATTAAACATTTGTTCTGTCATCTATGTTATATTACGAATAAAATATTGACATTTGCCATCTCCACATCATTGCATTCAGTTTTTATTCACAATTTGTTTAGTGTCCCAACTTTTTTGGAATCCGGTTTGTATGAAAAATCATGTGTATTATGCCACATTTCTTCAATATTAATTAGGATGTTTTCTACAACTTTTTGTATTTATAGGCATACCAATGGCACTTTATACAGATGGGATGTCCACAGACTAATTTACATGGACAGTCTCCAGCACCACTCTGCCCTGCCAGTGCTCCTAGTTTCAATTTCCAACAGCTGGCCTTCTTACAAAATTATCAAAGAATTCCAGCTGTCAGTTAAATTAAATTCTGCTTCTTCAAACCAAGGTTGTTCAAAGAGCTCTCTACTAGGGATGGAGGTTATGATAAACAATTCTGTATTGGAGCGGTTCACAGCCGAGTGTGAAGCAGTTGAGATGAGAATAAGCACCTCCAAATCTGAGGCCATGGTCCTCAGTCGGAATGGATTACTCTCGTCGGTTCGAGGGTGAGGTTCTGCCTCAAGTGGACGAGTTTTGTATCTTGGGATCTTGTTCACGAGTGAGGGAAGAATGGAAGAATGCATGAGATTGACAGATGAACTGGTGCAGCATCTGCAGTATTGCGGACTCTGTGCCACTCCGTTTTGTTGAAAAGGGAGCTGAGCTGTTAGACAAAGCTCTCTGTTTACTGGTCAGTCTATGTTCCTACCCTCACCTATGGTCATGAAACTCAGGAGCTGAGAAGGACCAGGAAAGAGCTGGTTGCTGGTATTAAGAGGGGCAAGGCCACATATGCACAGAGAAACAAGGGACAATTCATCTCATAAGACCCACGGAACATGTGGAGGGGCATTAAGTGTATAACAGATTATAAAGGCA